CTTTCATTTTTTTTTTTTTTTAAACAAGCCAGTTGGAATCTTTGTATCATTTTGATAATAAAGTGAATAACCAACAGGATTTCCTGTTCAATATCTGGCCCCTTTTCACTGAAAAAAAAAATAATAATGAATAAATATTAAAAAATGCTAAAATTTCGATACTCAGAATCTACTCTTTCTACCACTGGATCTCCCTCAACCTGGCCACAGGGTTATATTTGTTAAAACTTAAAAAAAAAAAATACCAGTTAAAAATGCTTTAGTCTTTGGAGTAAGATGTTGCATATTTTGCCTTTCATTTTCCCCCCCCTCGACGATAACGCTTAGGCCCCTCACCAAACTCTCAGTAACCATGGTAACTGTATACAAACCCATGCTGGCGATGGTGGTGAATGGTAAGTGGTGAAGTCCATCTGCCGCTTGACGTATTTAGTGCTGATTATCTATATACATATATATACCACGTGGATTTTTTTGACTTGTCGTATTAAGTTTTCTTGATGCTCTATTTTTTTGGGTACCGGTACGCCTGTAATTGAGTGTACGTTCTAAGCGAGCCTGGGAGGCACTGATTGGATTGGGATATGACAGTGCACATCTTACTCAGATTGTTAACTCCATATTGTGTTAAACGATGCACCCTCTTTTATCCTTTTGTTAGCTGTGACTTTCAAGCTTGAATGATCTTGTTAATTCTTGCTATGTCAAAGGCTCTTGTTCCTAGTGTTGAATGCTAGATGTTGCTTCCCCGATGGTTCTTCCTTCCTAAAGTGTTGCACACGGCTAAATCTTGTTTGTCCCTTTTTTTCTTTTCTTTTTTTTTTTTTGTTTTTTGTTTTTTGACATTTATGTTCCCTTGTACCTTGTCTCTTCCCCCTTCTACTCCACTGCATGTTCCTTCATATGAATTTTATTTTGTGTTTAAAAATATTTATTGTTTCTGTGTTACCATGGAGTACATGCATGCTTTTCAATCTTCAATTATGCAGTTCCTTTTAATTTGCTTTTACTGTCTCCTTATTAAACTTTTAAATGATATGACATTGCTTTATTGAAATGATTTGTAAGTTAAAATGGTTATGAAGTAAATGTAATTATAAAAATGTATGATTTTGTTATGCATCTACTGCCTTTTATAAATTAAAATGCATTTTAGTTTTTTTTTTTTAAATAAGTAATCACAGTCATAATGCATGCAACTAATTGAACTGTGGGCCAGTCCTAGCATTTGTGCTCATTTGAGTTTTCTATGTACGTAGGTAAATAATGCCACAGCACGTGTAATGACAAATAAAAAGACTGTCAACCCTTATACAAATGGTAAGTAGAGATTGGCCTTCAACAAGCAATCATCTCTACCTCTGAATCTATTCAATGATGTAACCGGGGGATATGTTTCAACAAGCCACAGTCGCCTCACAGTGGCTCCCGTGCCCTAACTGCTGACCTGCTACAGTGAACCACCTGCATTGATCAGATACTTTTCAGGGACGACACATACTCAGGGTGAGCACTGAGGCAGGGACAGAGTTGTCCGATTGCCACGTAGTCCCCGTGAAGCTATTGTGACACCGTCTGCCAGTGAGACTTCAATAATCATTCTTTAAACAAGATCATTTCAGGGCAGAGGCAAGTTTCATTTTCGGGTAGAGCGTACATGCCCTTCCTCCAGTCCCTCTAGAATAACTCCCATTTGCCCATTTGGAGTGAGATACAAGTAATTATTCAGGGTTACCTGGGTCACTTAATTTGCTGTTATTATAGTAAGTTGAGGGAGAATGGAGGTTTGGTGTGTTTCCTCCCCACCCCCCCCCCAACCTCCTTGTTGATCCTTAGTCATTTCTGGAAGAGGGACAGCAGAATTTGGTTCTGGCATTGAGTCTGCTCTGGAGATACTAGGATTTTAAATGGCTTGGAGGGTGCTTCCTGCTGAGCTCCATAGCATGAGTGCGGTTTTTCTGTTTCTCTGGGTTGCCCAGTGCTGTTTGGGGACAGATATAGATGTTGCTGTATACTGCAGACCCCTTCAGGACAACGTATCTCTACTCGCACTAACCAAGAAGCTGTCTCAGAATTCCTCATAATAAGATCTCGCATCTGTACAAGAATTGAAAAGTTCCACCATTTTGATTCTGTAATCCTTCTCAGAATACATCTCTCTTAAGATATATATGGGGGACAGGGGAAGCTGCCGGTATGCTAATCACATGCTTAATTGTGCCAAAAAGCTAGGTATGAATGTAATACAGTAGGTTTAATTATAACCACTCAGTGGAACATTATACCCACTAAAATGAGCAAGATAAGGAAGATGCAGGGCTTCCTGATGAATGAAATTTTTTCTTAATGAAAAGGTATAGCATGATTTCAACTACACTATGGAAGGCATTACGTCAAAATGCTCACGGTTGAGTTGAATTATAAGACTGGAAGATATTTTTCCTTTGTTTTGTAGGTTTTTAAAAAATAACATAGTTTTATTACTGTGATAAAGGAATGATATTTTCCATTTTTAACTTCTTAATTACATGTGCAACATGGAAATGCAGACTCATTTTTAAAAAAAAAGAAAAAATGAGAAAGAAACATTAAAGGAAAAGGTAAATATATTTTGAATAATGCCACTACCAGCTTGGTATTCTAGTTCCCCCTCGGAGAACACCACCATTAGATTATTGTGTGTAGTTTAACTTTGCTTTTTTATGCATGTATATGTAATATATATTTATAGTATTCACAGTATTGTGTATGTGCTTTTCATATAAATTATGTCATGGTGTGCACATCATTTTTAATTGGCTTTTATAAATCAATATGGAGTTCGTTTGATGTTAATACACAGACCAAACCCATTCTTTTTAGTGGTTACATAAGATTCCATGAAATGGATATATGGGTTTAGTCTTACCTTCCATACTGATTGACATTTAATTATTTAAAAAAAAATTTTTTTTACATTTATTTAATTTTGAGAGACAGAGAGAGACAGAGCACAAGTGGGAAGAGGAGAGAGAGAATGAGACAGAATCTAAAGCAGGCTCTAGGCTATGAGCTGTCAGCACAAAGCCCGACATGGGGCTTGAACTAATAAACTGCAAGATCATGACCTGAGCTGAAGTCAGACACTTAACCGACTGAGCCACCCAGGAGCCCCATTTTTTTGTTTCTGTTGTTAAAAACGGTAGTATTAGCATTTGTTAGTTTCGATTTTGGTTTTCCTTGTCTTGTGCCAATGGCTACCAATTGGGCTAAGTCAGTCCATTCCTATTTTTAAAGGGGGCCCATTACACAGAGAAATACTGTCAGTTTAGCAGTGTTCTAACTTGAAAGACCAGAGGATTTATCTATTCTGCTGACCCGGTTTCTAGCTGCAACAACATCCGAGACATGGCCTGAAAGGGAATAGAAAATTTCCACAACAGACTCTGAATGCCCAGTGCTGAAATGAAGCAAACTTCTGATTTGTATGTCATGAAGCCTTTCTACTTGGGTAAAAAGAAAAAACTCTGCAACTTGCCAGAGTTAATATGAGATGGCATTGACCCGACTATTGGCCATTTCCTTAAATTATGAAGTAGCAACTGTGTGCGTATGTGTGTGTGCATGCACACGTGCTTCCACGGCCACTGTCACACATGTGCAGAGGTGGTCAGGTGTACTGTTCACATGAGAAAATGAAGCAAGGGAAGCCAAATGTTATTCTGTAAGCCATATGGATGCATATTTATTTTAAAGAGTTATTGATCTGTGTCCCACCTCGGGGTTGAAAACTGGCCCCGTGGAATGTGGGGACACAATTCAAAACTCAGTCATTAACGGACACCTGGGTGGCTCAGTTGGTTAAACGTCCAATTTTAGCTCAGGTCATGAACTCGTGGTTCGTGAGTTTGAGCCCCGTGTCAGGCTCTGTGCTGACAGCTCAGAGCCTGGAGCCCGCTTCAGATTCTGTGTCTTCCCCTCTCTCTGCCCCTCCCATGCTCATGCTCTGTCTCTCTCTGTCTTTCAATAATAAATAAACATTTAAAGAAAAAAAAACCTCAGTCATTAATAGCCAACATCTCTGGAACACTGACTGTATGACATTCTGTTAAGCATTTTAAATGCACTGGGCCCACGTGAAATCCTCTAAAGAGGACATACTTATCCCTATTTTAAAGAGGCAAAAACTGAGGCTAGAAGAGATGAAGTCATTAGTGAAGTCTTTCTCTTTTATTATGAACAAAATCTTGTTACATTGCTTTCCCTCCATCATTTACAGAACTGCCCACAAATGGTAACTCACCACAGTAACAAAAAGATTGTTAAGCGTTCAGCCCAAATCCCTGCCAGATGTTGGCATAAACATCCCACATCCCATTCCAGGTAGCCATGCATTCTTAGCTTCCAGCAGTAAGTCATGTGTGTTTCTCATACATGTTTCTGAAAGGGGTCATTTGGAGGCTTGTCCCATCACATGGGCTGAGTGTAGGATGCAAGGGGTGGATGGACCATGACAAGCAGAATTTACTGAAGAAACAAATACAAACCCTAATTACATAAAGCAGCTGGTTTCTGTAGAGGACACCATGGTGACTTTCGGTATTCAAAAAAAAGCAGTTCTCAAAGCCTGTCCAGTCCACAATTCATTAGTATCATCACTACAGATAAACTGCCCCATAAATTGCAACATGATTTAACCGAAAAGATATGGGGTCCTCTCAGATCCTCAGCAAGAGTGACTATGTTATGAGGGAATATTATCACCACAAAAAAGGAAGGAAGGGAGGAAAGAAGGAAGGAAAAGAAGAAAGAAAGAAAGAAAGAAAGAAAGAAAGAAAGAAAGAAAGAAAGAAAGAAAGAAGAGAGATGATGAATATGTAAATTAGCTTGATTGTGTGCATATTTTACAACATATATGTAATATCAAATCAACAAGTCATACACCTTAAATACTTACAACTTTTAGTTGTCACTTATACCCCAGTAGAGCTAGAGGCAGGGAAGAGAAGATAAGTCAGGACCCACGAAGTCATGCTGAAATGAGAAAAATAAGTGACCAGTGAGATTCATATATTAGCCGTCTGATTTATCGTCACAAACCACCAACTTCCACTTTGGCGAATATAGCTTCTTAGGATCACCACATTGTGAGGTCATCTTCACATGGTGAAGTATCACTGTCGATGCTCCCATCACATTCATGCATTCCTTCAGTTATATGTCCAACAAGAGCTTAGGAAGCTGCAAACTTTCCAGTGCGAGTCACAGCAGACCCTAAATGCAAGTAGGTGCCTGGCTACGAGGCTCTGCTACACAGATAACAATCCCATCATCATGGTGTTCCATTTCCTAGGACATTTGCACTCAGATGTAGGAGAAGACTGTAGGATGACATACAGGGATCTGCAAACACTATCCAAGAGCTTCGCAAAGAGGGAACAGGGCTGCTTCTGTATTGTTGACTCCCCCTAAGGACAGCAGCCCTCAGACAGGAGCTGGGGTCCACTGTGTTCACTGCAGACCAAATGGTTGCAATGCAAAACAAGTTGAGAACCACATTCTCAGGGATTCTCTGGATGTTGGACAAGCCTGGGTGTTGGATGTGGCTCTTTTTTTTTTTTTTTCCTCAGATAGCTTAGGGAGGATGAAATTGGACCAAAAAATCCAAGACTATAGAGAGAGAAGTAGACTTTGTATCAGCTCTGCCTTTGACTGGCTACTGAACTGCAGGCGAGTCATTTAAACTCTCCACACACCAGTGTTCTCAAGTAGGAACTGAGTTATAATGGGACCTACTTTCTAGGGTATTTGTGCTTATTACGGAGATAAGTACTCGACACAGTCCCAGGGGTACAAAATGCCCTAAAAATTTAATTACACAATAATCTCAATAATAAGTAGTCATCTTCTTTTTTTCTGTAGATAGTAAGCTGAATTTCCTGATAGACATACTAATTTAAGGATCAAATATTCAGATGCCATCAGAGGCTAGCCGGTAAAATAGACGAGCAGGGAAGGTCTGAAAGACTCACATTCTTTTTTGCACTCTCATTTCTCTCATTTTCATACTGGGCAAAGCAAAATAGGTTTCTACTAGAAGAAAAAACGGGACAGGATAACAATAAAAGATTGTTAATATTTGGCCTCAAAGCCAGGCATATAATAGGGAGCAGGTATGTTTGTGGCTAACTGGGGGCTAAGTGGAGTGTCCCTGGTCACTTCTAGCAAATTTGTCCGTGTGGGATTCTGAATCAAAAAAATGGTTATTTCTACTAAACTTTCAAGAAAACCAGAAATCCTGTATCTTAGTGAAATCTAAACGTTGGCAATGAATATATGTTGAAAAAAAAACACCACCACCACAGCGGGTGAACCAAACACAATGTGCAAGTAACTGTTCATTTTGGGTATCACCTCATGCACCCTTTCAACTACCAAGTCCCTGGCATCCTCAGTTGATATCTTTGGAAAGCATTGGAACAGTTCTGGGAAACCCCAGTGGTGTATTTAAGGGTGCTTTCTTGAATATGTGTCTTCGATATCTAGCCCCACAAAGCCCTAAAGAAGACACATGCATTTTTTTTTTTTTTTTTTGCACATTCAGATTTGCCTTTTAACACCTAATGCAGCCATAGTTAACAGTGTTTTTCCACAGCTGGCTGCAGATGACCTTTGAGAAGCTAAATTTGAGGAGGGGGCTAGCTGATTTGGATGCAGCCCCTTGAGGCCCAGCCACAGAGGGGTCTCTATACACAGCTCCTGTGTCTGGTCTCTGCTCCATAGCCTTCTTGCATGGGGGGCCCTGCGAGGCTGGGAGCAGTGGGCTTTGTCAGCTGTTCTCTTTTGTTATAAGCCTCATTGTTCAGTTTAATGTCCTTGATCAAAATCTCTGAATTTGCAAGGCCTGAGGATGTACAGACTGCCTGAGAACTTAAAACCAGGATCATTTTGTCCATCTTCCTGACAGTGCAGGCTCCAGTCTCCAGCAGGGTTATCCCAAGGGTCTCTTCCAGGTACTGGAAGGAGTCACAGGGACTAGGAGGCTATTTGCATTCAATTTGCATACATTTACATAAGCCTGCATGAGTTTTGTAAGTCTGAGCAGGGGTGATTCTCAAGGTCTGTATTCTTATTTCCTCTGCCTTGAAGACAGTCACCCCTAACAGGGTCCTTCTTTATTAGATGTACATCAGGAAGCAGGTCATTGGAGGTTAGAAGGAGATAGAATCCTAGCCAAAAGGGAATGAGTCTATTAGAAAAAGCTCTCTATTCCTTCTGTTCCTTTAGAGCAAAACTTAAGTAAATATTTATGGAACACCAACCATTTGCAAAATGCAATTTTAGGTGCTGGGCATTCACACTGGACAGCAGTCCTGTTCATTTACCATTAATTTTAATGAAAGAGAATGGTTATAAAAACAACTGAGAACAAGCAAAGAAAGAAAAATAAAGATGAACCCAGGTAGTGGGTGCAGAAAACAAAACTGGAAATTGAATCGGTGTATAGCTGAAGGGGGAGGAGGTGGCCTTGAGTAGTCTGCCCCGGGAAGACACTAGAGACCCACATAACATCAGGTCAACTTTATCAGGAGTTGTGGAGAGTTCTCCAAGCACAGGGAGCAGTAGATATAATCTAGAATGATCTACATTGATGTAGAATGATCTTGGGTGGTTTTATAAAGATTTAAAAGTGCAGTGTCCCTTTGGTTTGGAGAGAAGGGAACCGTGCTATGAGATGGTGGCAGTGGAGAGGAATGGACATTAAGCACATGGAAACATCTTTTCAAAGTCTAACCAATAGGATCTTCTGGTGGATTGTAGGTGGGATATGAGAGTAAGGGGAGAATCAAGAAGTTATTTTTCAAGAGTTTTGTTTTGAGGAACCAAGCAGATGGAAGTGTCATTTGCTGACGTGGGGAGACTTGATGAGGAGCAGGCCGCAAGGGTGTAGGGAGGTGAGAAGTTGGGTTATCATGCCTGTGGTGTGGATCAAAAAGGCCTTTGTTTTCCCTACAGTGGAAGCAGAGCAGCGTTGTTTAGGAAGAAGGGCCAGTGACAGAGAGCAGGACAAAACCTGCACTAGTGCTCCCATACATTTCATTTTGCGGCTCACAGATTCCAAGCTGGTTTCTTGTGAAGGAGACCCTATCATTTACCTCCCTCAATAAATACTTGCAGACAGGAGATGGCATGTGTCTCCTGATGAGGCAGAATGCCTTTATATATTAAATGAAATTTTTCCATGAATAGACTTGGTAAACTGGTAGGTAGTTGGTAAGTTGGTAAATAGATAGATAGCGGCATTCAGTAGCCTGCTTTGGGAAGACAATGGAGGCCTAAATAAGATCAGATAAACTTTGTCAAGAGCTGATCAATGATGGATGGATAGATAGATAGATAGATAGAAACAGATGAGAGAGAAGGAGGATAGGGATAAATGATAATAGATGGATAGATGAATGGATAGATAGGTAGATCAATGGATGTACAGATAGGTCGGTATGTAGGTAGATAGATTATAGATAGATAGATAGATAGATAGATGAGAGAGAAGAAAGATAAAAAATGATGATGGATGGATGGATGGATGGATCGATCAATGGATATATAGACAGGTAGGTAAGTAGGTAGGTAGATAGATACATAGAAGGTTTCAAGGAAATGAGGAAAATAAAGGCAGATGAGAGAAACGTGATTTAAGATAGTCTTAGATACCTCTGAGAAATCTGTTTCTGTGAGAAAATGAAAGGCCATTGGCATAACTTAGAGTCTTGGAGAGTTCCATCAAAATTAATCAGTGGGTCAACATTCAGTGAATGGTGTGTCACAGGCCTGTGTGCAAAAGGGAGTATTTAAGGGACCTCATAAGGACATATACAAGAAACAAAATCTTACTTCACTAGTAACAAAAAGACCCTGTCTCCACTATCTGGAAAAGGTAGGGACATGAGCAGGGTGTAAGATGGGGAGCAAAAGGACGAAGAAAAAGAGTAATAAATTCATAACTTAATTATTCATTTAGTATGGGTCCTTATGTACTTCTTTCACAAATCTAGACTTCTGTGAAGGACTAGGGAAGGAGACCATTAAATATGTCGATATAATCCTGAAACTTTAATTTCAACCAGTTTTCTCTATTTTGGGCTTGATTCCAAGGTCTAGAAATGTAGACATTAGTTCCCATGTCCCCAGAAATTGGGTATTTTTTTTTTTTAGGAAGTAGTGGAATTTTAGTTGGTCAAACTGAAGTCATTTTCCACATTCATAAAACACATTTTCTGAAATGTGCCAGATAATTTTCATTTTTATATCACTATAGAAATTCCTATATGACAAGATGTGGTTAATGTAAGAGAGGAAGGTGTCAGTGTGACGTTTCAGAAACCGTTGGGGCAACACATCTCAGAATTTTATGTCTCTTTCTGGTGAAAATGGGGCCAGACATTTCTATTAATAAGCCTCCCAGGTATGCAAGCATAGCACTTTGAAAAATCCTATCTTAAGACCATCCTGGGGGCTGTAAAGTTGCCAGCTTATTCAAGTTGGATGAAAGCTCTTAGAAACAGAAAATTCTTGGAAAGTTGTAGAAAGTTCTTTGGTCCGTCCAGGGGCCTGTCTCTTGAGATATTGAACCTGTGTGTTCCTTAAAGGATGAGTAGATTGTGGCTACCTCTTGGCTGGTCTTACAGGTGCATCACTTAGGTCAGAAGATAGGATGTCCTACCCCTTCATCTGGGAAGAGCTTTCCATGTCAGAAATACCTTCTCTTACATCCCACCTTTCACCATTGCCTTTTCTCAGGAGCTTTTGCTAAAGGGCCCCAGGTGTTTTACCCTCAGCCCAAGGACACAAAGTTTTCCATAAAAGGCAGCACACCTGACCTTCTTTATCTTTCAGGAATTCTATTTAATGGATGTTTTCATAAAGACTTAGCAGCAGGAGCAGGAAATGATTACCAAACCCTAAAACGTGGCCATTCTTTGGAGGTTGTTCCCTAAATGATGCCCAATGGGTGTGTAATGTGCACAGCTTCTCAATTTGCAAATATTCTTGTATGTTCTTTTCTTGAGTAAAAGTTCCTAAGGGGCCAGGATTCATTTGACAGAAAATGCTCCATCCAGAACACTGGGAAAATTACAGGATTCTGTTCCTCTTATACACAGGTTGTTTGAAAGTTACCTTAGATATCATGCATTGATTAAGAATTTTTATGGTTCCTGAATGTGCTGAAATGTATTCCACACTTAATCTCTAGTGGATAAATGTCATTTTCTTTGGGATGTAAAAAGCACTTCGGAATTCTCTGGGTCATAATTAGGAATGACAATTATCAGAATATGTATCCGCAAAGAATTCTGTTTATGTGAGCTTTCAAATTTGGGGGGACTAAATGCAAAGGGGCATATGATGGATTACCTAGCAGTGATCCATGAAAGAAGACAAAAAATTTGCAATTATTATAGTGGTTCTAGAGAATATTAGCATGGGAGAAAATTAATCACCACATCATTTTCAAAAAGTTCACCTGTAGCTGGTCAATAGTTTCCATACTATTAACTTGTATTGGCAGCCAATCAAAGAAAGGCATAAATCTGCCTTCCCAGGTATAGGTTACAAATCATTTTTATGCATCCCCAGACTATATACCCTCTGAATATAAAATTAAAAATATATATATACACCACCCCATTTGATTTGTGTTTCGCTTGTAGTGATATGAGTTGTTGAATCAAATGTGATAATCATGTTTTTGTGTATTTGTTTTAAGGCTGGAAATTGAATCCAGTTGTGGGTGCGGTCTACAGCCCCGAATTCTATGCAGGTAAAAATTTCCTCTGTGCATGACTTCTTCTTCGTCTGTTCTCGATGTGTTTTGCCTGCTACTAGAGAATAGGTTTCATGAAATAATCTGAACCAAGTAAAATCCCTCTCCTCAGAAGTTCTGAGGGACTGTTGGTTTTTTTTTTTCCTAAAGCAAAACCAAAAGTGTTTAAAACCCTTTAAAAAATGAAGGGACATCACGTATGTGTGTTACACTGTGAGCTATGCGTGGAGCCCCTGCTCCTTATGATGTTTTCCATTGATTTTGCCTCAAAAAAGCATTGAGGCTTTGTTCAAGGGTATGTTGAACGAATGTGGAGCTGTTCTTGCCCAATTTTATTTAGTGTCCCTCCATGTGTTTTTCGCCATACGTTTCCGTGTGGGGTCACATTTTTTTTCCCAGCGAAGCTGAGTTGGCTCACTTATTCCAATAATGTGGCAGTGAGTTGAAATTGCCAAGAGAAGGATTATTTAGAAAACGAAAAAAAAAAAGAAGTGGTCTTTCTTTCTCCATGCATCACATTTCCTTAGCAATTCCATATTCCTCTCTGCCCTGCCCTTCCGAGGGAAGTCTCTCCCCTTGGCCCTTCCCTGCTACCCTCTAGCTAGCGGTTGATCAGGAAATCTGTGTCGAAAACTTGGTCATCACATTTTGAGAGAGAATGACCCAGAAGAAGCAGTGGCTGAGACTGGTTCTGCTTGGCCTGTTACTTCTGCCTGTTATCGTGTTGTCCATTAACAAGGTTGCGTTTGGGGTGCCTGGGTGGCTCAGTCAGTTGAGCATCCGACTTTGGCTCAGGTCATGATCTCACACTGTGAGTTCGAGGCCCGCGTCGGACTCTGTGCTGGCAGCTCAGAGCCTGCAGCCTGCTTCAGATTCTGTGTCTCCCTCTCTCTCTTCTCCTCCCTGCTCATGCTCTGTCTCTGTCTCAAAAATAAATAAAAACATCTAAAAAAATAATAAAAAAAATAAAAAACAAGGTTGCGTTTAACACCTTAGAATTTTAGTAGTTTCCACGCGGGTATGGATAAGAACCCTTTCTTTGATGGGGCCCTTGCTCTTTAATAAGGAGAGATAAATGACCCGTTGGTCTAGATCCACTCACTTAGTGACCTCTTGATGGTAAGTAAGTCCTACCCCTTGCTTGGTTTCTTCCGGGATGCCTTCTGTCATTTTTCTGATCCTGAATCAACCCTAGTGCATGACAGGGGAATATGGCATATTCGGATAGCTATCCAGCAGAGTAATCAACTTGACAAAGAAAAAAATGGTAAATCTGGGAAGACCCAAGATGATAGGTGAGTTCTGGATTTTGGACAGGCAATGTTTGTTCCTCACATGTGGTTTCTACCCCAAGCCTGGGTGAAGTCCAGCAGCTCTATGCCTGTAAAGTAGCTGTGCTGACTCTTATTGGGGGAGCAAAAACTTAGCTGTAAGTCTTTCCATGATTGTATGGTGGAACTCATCCACTGAGAGGACATTTAGCAAAGTGGGGAATGTGAACACTGTACTCAGCCCAGGTTCAAATCCTGGCCAGCTGTGTGACTCTAGGCAAGTTACTTAACCTCTCTGTGCCTCAGTGTCTTCATCTGTTAAGCGGAAGATGATAATAGTAACAAACTCACAGGTGTTTATTAGAATTAAATGGGTTAATATGTGAAGAGTGGTGCATAGCAAGCAATACATAAACATTGGGCAAATGAAAGCAAATAAATGAACGTTCCCCTCTCTGCCATAAGGGCGTTATTCTCCCCAGAATAATGAGTCCAGAACAAGAAGCAAGAAGTCATCTGATGAGATAGGGTATAAATGTGTGACTTGGGATAGGGAGAAGAAGTCCATGTTTCTGGTCCCATGCAGTGTAGTTAGTTTCTGGTCATCTGACCTAAGCAACCAAAATAACACCAAACCTCTCCTTGAGAAGGGGTTTCAAACCTCACTGCATATCTGTGGGTATTGACGAGGACGTTAGGACAGAAGAATCCATTCACACTGACTTGTATATACAAGAATAAATTAACCTGCATGACTTTTAGAAGGTTAGAACAGCCATTCAGATCAGCCCTGAGCCCAGCTGCAGAAGTTACATCATGGGAGTAGTGGCTACGAACAAGTTACAATAAAGATTAATATTTACTTGAATATTATCTGTGGTCAGGCACTGTTCCAAGCACTTTACCTTAATTAATGTATTTAAATCCTCACGGCGGTTTTCCAAGTGAGAAAACTAAAGTACAGAGAGTACGAGGGCACCTGGGTGGCGTGTTGGTTAAGTGTCTGACTCTTGATCTCAGCTCAGGTCATGATCTCACAGTTTGTGAGTTCGAGGCCCACATCCGGATCTCTGCTGGTGGTGCAAAGCCTGCTTCGGATTCTGTCTCTCCCTCTGTCTCTCCGCACCTCTCCAGCTTGTTCTCTCCCTTTCTCTCTCTCTCTAAAAATAAATAAATAAACTTAAAAAAAAATAAAGTACGTAGACTACCTTAGCACTAAAGGGCTAAGATTTCAAGTGGGTAAGAAGCTAGCTAGACTGTAAAACCAAGAGCCTGGGTTCTTTACAACTGGCTTAATATGGCTTCTTTATTTTTTTGTGTGAATACTAGAAGTCATACTTCTTCTTGATTGTGGCCTGTGGTGGTAGATCAGGCAACTACAGCTCTATGTCCAAACCAGTCCAGTTAAAGAAGAGGAGTGAAATAATAATGTTGGATTGTTCCAACAGCCACGGCCACCATATCCTCCACATTCAGATGAGTTAACTGGTTCTGTCAGGGGCAGTTTTAAGGAGTCCACACACCCAAATAATTATTTCTACGAGATGCTCCAATAAACTTAAATCTAAAAAAAGGGGGGGGGGGCATGAGTAAGTGTCACTTGAGAAATCTGTGTATGCATGTTAGTGTTGCTACTACCCGGGGTATCCTTAATAATCAGAAACTTTCTCTTTCTGCCTATATTATCTGTATATGGAGGTCAACAGAGTTCATGATATTCAGAAATGTGGGGAAATGTTGCTCCAAATCCAACACTCCAGAACAAGTCCTTTGAAATATTTGAAGACCCATAAACACTGAGAATCTAGCTAGCTTACCTCAAAAGTTACGGGCACCTTAATGCATAGATGCAAATGCGGATGTGGCATGTATTCATTTCCCTATGCAGGTATACTTACTAACGTCATCCACTTGAATATCCACGGCTAAGGATTTAGGGGCCTTTGTGAATTCCCCCAACTATAAACACAGCCTGGATTTCTCTTGCAATTTCCAGCGTGCCTCAAAGGCGAAATGAAGACCTTGTCATTGATTCGCTGTGGATATTTAGCAAGCCAACCCTGTATCTGCCTGAGATAGAAAGCCAGGCTTATTAGGCACTTTTCTATATAAGATTTTGTGTTAATGACAAATATCATGATATTCCCATAGTATAATTATCGATTTTCTGAAGCTTATGCAGAATTAACAACCCAGCCTCCAATTGTCTCTCAGAACGGGGCATGAAAAGTTCACATATTTTGTAAATTAAAATCAATATTTTCAATCTCTCCTAAAGGTAATTTTCCTAATTTAGTGGACTTTTCCCTAACATTTATTTTCTCTTTAATTATAAAATGGCAGGTTATTGATTTTCGTATATAACCTCTTGACGCCCTGAGTGCATTTTTATTGCTAACGCAGGGTTGGGGTGGAGAGGGCAGAAGCACCTCTTAATGAGGATCTTTAATTACCAGCTGAACAGTATTAATTTGCTTTGATAAATTATGACGCACACTCTCCCTCACACACACATAGCAGGGGAAGCATTTAGAAAGACGTTGTGAAAGGCCTTTCATTTCGGGTGTTTTTCTGAACTCTTACCAAGTCCTACCTGGAAGAATGCTCAATCCGAAACTAGTCTTCAGAAGCAGGTATGCATAAATAGGCATATCCTATGAAACTCCTCCAAAGACAAGTGGCTGTTTTCCTACAAAGCTGCAAGGCATTGATTATTTTGCTTACATCTAATCATCCTTGGGTTCCTTGGGGCTTATTCTCAAGATAAATCATTGATAAGTCAATTAAAAAAAAAATGTCCAGGTAGATCTCAAAGACTTTAGCCAGCATCTAAGACCATTCCATTTTAGACTTATAAAAAAATTGAAGGCATTAAATCAAAGTACACTACCTGCAAATTATGCGTTCCCAGTAGCATGCTTCAAGTTACTTAATATAATTAGAAAAAGTATTTCTAATCATCTCAATGAGGAGGCATCAAAAGGGGTCCCCCTTCATTGTGAGCCGTTCCGTTACTATCTAATCAAAAGATTAAAAAAAAAAAAACAGTGGTGCCTTTTACGGAGAATCATGATATCTGGCCAATGAAACTGTTGATTGAAAGCACGCACCTTTAATCTTCATACATAAGTAAAACAAAGTAAAAATAAATAACAGAAGGTTATACACAGTTGTCGACACAGTACTGACAAATGGCAAATTCGTCCGTTTCTCAATTGCCGGTAAGACGGCAGAGAAGCTCACTCACACCGTATATCATATCTGCCAACTCATTTCTGTGATTAAATATTCCATCAGTGGGGCTATAAGGCGGCAAAGCTTAACAAGATTCATAAGATGCACCACTTGAACACACATAACTCACTTCCGTGGATGTGAGTTTGTACACCCCGCCTGCAAAGGAAAATTGGAATTGAGTTAAATTACTCCACGAGTCAATAGGGAAAGGAAAAGACTTACCAATGCAATGCAAACCTGAGATGCAGGTTAGGTCCCAAAGACAACAAAGTAGAGAGATACAGGGCGAATCAACTTAGAAACCTTGAAGATGGTGGTGAACTCTCTTCTGGGAATACCATTATTATTAGCAGTTTTGGGTTTTTTTGCAAGGGGGAGTAGGAAGCGATCCTTAATTGGACATTCCTCCTAAAAATAAACGTTTCTGGTTTCAAGACTGTGGGGGGGGGGGGGAGTACTAAAAGAAGCAGGCTTGGCTGCAAAGTCACA